GGCCGTCGGGCAGCCCCCCGGCCCGAGGGATGTGCTGAGGGCTGTCTGGGGCCAAGGGCCAAGCCTAGGCAAAGGCGTGCTCCTAAGCCCGTCTACACGGGAGAGCTGCCTTTGAAGGTAACGTAGCCGTTACTGGATCTGGTGAGTAGCACGGGACTTTCAGCTGTGAAAGCTGGTAGCTTTTACTTAGAAATCTTAGTATGGCTTTAAAAAGGTCGCCCTTTTATACAGGAGTGAAGTAACACCAGCACCCTCCATCCGAGCGCCTTTGGGTGCTTAATACTGAAACTGTTGGCGGTGTGACTTGGACCTTACATGTCATGCTGTGATTCAAAAAGTAATACTAATGCAAACGTTTTTGAAAATCTTTAGCTTCCTTTTTTTAGCCCCGAAATCAGCTTCACCCTATCTTGTTTTACAATTGCTCCCCATTCAATCTGTACGTATTTTATTAAACGCATCTGCAGCAGGACACAACCACTCAGCGTCCGCTTAAAGTTAAGTACTAGTGTTTTTCTGATTTGTTTTACCAGCGTCCTTGTTGCTGCATGGAATAGATCTCTTTTGGGTTTGTGATGGCGCTCAGCGCGGTCTGCAGATGCCATGAACTGATACCGCATCATGCAAGGGTTTTTGTGGAGAAGCTGGAGGACCCAAAAGGAACAAAAGAAGCCGTTTCTGAAACTTACTGTTTTTCTAGAACCTATGTGATTGGCATGTTCTCGTCAAGTGACGTGTGAAAAGATTACTCACTTGGTCCCTTTTATCCCTGGGAAGTACGTTTGCAAGAACAGTCTGTCCGACCTTGGTTTGACTTCTGTGACTTCCTGAACCGTATGTGTAGGAGTGCAAATCTGCCAGGACAGCTTTGTGATTTCTTGGGAAACGGCGTTCTCAGAACGGGTGCTGATTTTTCATTTTGTCAGGAAGAAGGGATAGAGACGTATACGAACAAAGCATCTTTGTTTGGCTCATTTCTGTGAATGAAGTCTATTGATCAGAAAAAAAATGCGCTTTATTACTCTTTGAGGGCTCTACAGACGAGCACCAGGAGTCTTGCCCACTTTCTTTTTCACATCTTCATCTTCAGTAGCTTCCTCGTGTGCACGAGAGTACGTCTCAAATGAGGACGCAGATCAGCAGACCGTATACTCGACTCTTGACCTCTGCACTAGGCCCCTCTTCAAAGTCTTCTCCTGCAAAGATTTTTGTCCTCAGCTTTTCCTTTCCTTATGAGGGAACGAGGATTTAAATGGAAGTTGATGATTGTGAGTTTCTGATTTTGCTGTGGATTTCTATTTTGCATGTATATGGACCAGACGTACAAACCCTGGCTTTTTGTACTTTCTGGTTTGATTAATGAACAGAGATATTTAAAAAAAAAAAAAAAGGCCAGCAGGATAGATAAGTGCCGGTGCTGGTGGTACTTCACTGCTGTATAAAACGCTCCCGGGGCTTGTGCCTTCTGTTGACCCAAGCCGAAGTAACCAGCGCAGTCAGCGCGTTCCTGCCAGTTTACGCCCGCTGAGCATCTTGGCCCACGGACTTCTATTTCTTCCTTTTTAAAAACCAGTCCTCCCTGAGACCAGAGGTAAAAATACATTTCTCGCAGTGGTAAAATTGCTCGTGCCGTTGTGACACGGTAGCTGACACCGCTGTCCCCCAGCGCGCGAAGTCTAATGCGAAATCGCCTGCGTTAGCGGCGCGGCAGGAAGCAGGTTCCCTCCCTGTTCCCGGTGCCCACACCTCGTCAGGCTGCAAAAATCGACGTACAGTTTAGACTAAAAGTGAAGCATCACCGAGCAGCACATGAGTATGTGTCATACGCTGTGGCTCATGTGTGAATTTTGAAGGGGAGAGCTTTTGCATCGCACTGAGACAAACACAAAAAAAAAAAAGAGGAAAGATGTTCTGCTAGCCGGTGGCTGCTTTGTAAACGGACACCAGAGAACCTTTACGTTTAATTTTTATTGTGGTGTTTTTCAGTAACTTCGTGGCACTTCCCCTGGTGCAGAGAGCAGCTTCACTCAGAATAATCCACCGGCCACAAAGATAAAGCATCCACCGCTTTCGGCACAGTCCGTCTTGCTCATCCCCCGGACCCCATACACCCCTTTCCCTTTTTCTAAATCATTGATACCAACTTTTTCCTGGCTGACTGCTTTTTGAATGAAGTACTGATCTGGCTTTTTGTCTCTTTTCATGGAGAGGTTTGCTGTATTTGACTGAGGAGGAAAAAAACAAAATAAAATTCCAAGAGGGCCTCCGCCACCCGCTTGATCGCGGTACGGTGCCGTCGCTGGCGTTCCGGCTACACCGCTAGCGCTGCCGTGGCACATCCGTGCCGATTCAGCCGCCCTAAGCGCAGGCATCTTACGGAGGTGTCGGAGTCGGACGCGTGCCGTGGGGAGTGAGTCGCTGAGGCGGTGGGGGAGAGCGGCCGTTCTTCGCCTACCGCCTTTGCCTCCCCAAACACCCGAGAAACGTCGCGGCGGGGCTGGCAGCCTGGTTTCTTGCCCGCTCCTGTAAGGAGTCCGCATCTGACGTGCCGCGGGCTTGTCAAAGCGTATAGCAACGTGACGCGTTAATGTACGTCAGCAGAGCCTTTGGGTATTTGCGTTTCGTTCGATACCACTGGTAATTTAAGGGAGGCAGGATGGGCTATTGCGGGGATTTGAAAAAGCCGCCAGGATAATGGGATAACAGAGCGCTGTAAGAGCCTCGGTGATGATACGTGGTGGGTTTTGTGTCTTATGACAGTGGCTCCTAACCCAAAATCTGTAGGGAGTCCTGTATATTTTTGCGCCTTTTTTTTTTTTTTTTTAATTTCAAATTTGTTCACGTCTCTCATTTGCCCGGAGCTGCTTTTATGAGTCATACAAATGTGCTGTATCGTTTTGTTTCCTTCTGTGTAAAGTTGGATAGCAAGTTGTGTTGAGGGTTGGAAGCAGTTACACTCTTGTGGTTCACTAACCTTTTTGAGTGTTTTATAAGAGAAACGTGAGGTCCTGGTTTTCTGCCTCTGCAGTGAAACCTAATGAGTTTCATACACATTGAGTCACGGTCTTGACAGGTGACTGATAAACATCTGCACCACTGAGTTACCGTAACTAAAAGATTAGTGGATCTGATGTTTGCAAGTCACTCGCACATGAAACAGTTGGTCTGGTTTTTTTAAAGCTATGAACGATTTTATGTTTTCTGTAACCACAGAATTCAGTTACTTACTTCTAGACATCCACGAAAAAAGTGACTTTAGTGCTTTTGGGGTGCAGTTTGATTTCCTCTGTGTGCCTGGCATAGAGAACACTGGTTGCAGCGTGCTGCCCAGCCCGCCCTCCCTTGCCTTAGTCCTTGCTGGAAGAGGTGTGAGCGGAATTTCGGGTACACGCTCTCTTAGCTCTCCTCCCATTCTGTCTCATTTAGAGCTTTCAAAGCCCTAGCACACCCAGAGCGGAGTACGTTTCACTCCTCTTGCACTAGCCCCGCATCAAGTGACCCTAAATGTGTTGTTCTGTACATACGTGCGTAGCTGCCGGCGTTAGAGTATCTAAAAACCTGTGCAGAGATCAAAGAAACCAGGCGTGGTGCAGAGGGAGCTGGAGTTGTCAGAGGACAGCGGGGAAAACTGACTTCAGTGTCCAAGGACGTATAAAAGACGACTCTGTCAGATGGGTAAAAGTAATGAAAAGTGCATCAAATCTCAGCCGGCGCTCGTCTTCCCTTTTTCTATTAGCGAGTGCACGCTTCTCGGGGGACGAGTCAGGAGCGAAAGGTTGCAGCCTTGGTCCCCGAAATGGAGTATTTTGGTTCATTATCCATTCGCTCTTTTACAAGTATTTTCATTAATGATTATTTACCCTTTTCTAGAAAAAAGGTGAGAGTAGTTAATCCATGGAAGCTTTGATAACATTCTTCCCCTTCAATCCTAGAATAATTAAAAAAAATCAGTGATGATTTGTCCAGTAAGCATCCTCACCACCTTCTCTATTAAATTTTTGCTTACGAGGGTGGACTTTTAAAAAATATAATAACAAAACCCAGAAAAAAAACCCACCCAGAAGCTACTTGCGTATACAAACGGCCTCTTTCCGCAGAGAACATTTCATGCCTCTCTACTTCCCAGACACTACTGTCATTTAGAAAAGGTGTCATGGAGTTTAAACGCTTCTTTACCCACCCAAGTAATTTAATACCTCTCTTCTCTTCGCAGGTGAGAAACGACATAGTTTCGATGTTAATTATAATTCAAGTTTCATGTACGAGAAGGAAAGCGACGTAATGCAAGGACGCATGATGGACCAGGCCATAAACAATGCCATCACCTACCTCGGGGCTGAAGCCTTGCGCCCTCTCGTGCAGACGC